AAATGGCAGTTGGGCAATTAATGTTAACCATCAATATCAGAATGGCTTAGATTACATGATTAACTAGTAAGAGTTTTGAGCTGGCTGGTAATTTTAGATTAAATAGTCAGGCAGCCAGTGACTTGAATATTGATGAATATCCTGTGTTTTATTAATATGCATTCTCTATAAATTAGAGGCTTAGTACACAAAGAAGAATCCTAATGCTCTTGCTATTTTTCATTGCCACAGGTAGAACTGAATAATTCATAACAATTAATTTATTTCACTGATTTAGCCTTTTGGGGCAGGGGGGAGGTAGGGGGGAAGTTGAGCACGAGTAGTCTGCAGGTAATCTTTTCCATGTTTATTTACGATAAATAACTTACCAGAGACATTTGAAGACTGATTCTTAGTTGTGGGAATTTTTTTTTTGTATTTTAAACTGGAGAAATTTAGAGGAATATGGGCACAAGTGCAAGCAACCAGCCAATCAGTACAAGTACCCCAATGAATTTTAAATTGTAAAAAAAAGCCCAGCAAATTGCAAATACAACACATACAGGGTCAGGCTCATGTTGATTTGTATTGATTGGTGCAATGCTGGTTACATTGCATATTTCTGCTCCTCATTTAATTGATTCTAGTACTTCAGGACCAAGATTTCTTACAAATATTTATGTGGGCAGAATTCGTTGTCTGTATTCAGTCCCTAATTCACAGGTAAAATGCTGCCCTTTTTGCAACCAAGGGAAGTTTTACCCTTCATTCTGAAATATTCAAGATTCTACCTGCTGATGACAACATTCCTGAAAATCTTTTTTAGACCGAGCAATAACTTGTCCAACATGAATGACACTTTATATTTGTGCAAAGTTTCAGAATATCCATATGCAGGTTTTTAATTTTTTTTATTTTTTTAGTCAGTGGGAGATGGAGCTGTAAATATGAGACAAGATGTTGCAGCACAAAGATCACTTGCCAATCCTGCAGCTCAGGGAGGCTGCAGCCCTGTCTCACACTCATATCCTGAGCAGGTAATACCCAGAAACACACGAGGAGGAGGAGGAGGAGGCTGCATGATTACTGCCTCAGCCTTTCTCTGGTTCTTACAACACTCACAGCAGTGAGACCTGCATAGCACGCCATAAATCATTGCCTCATTATGCTCCTTCTGGAGGTTTGTTTAGGGCACCTATTCTAGTACTGGCTGCAGCAGATTATTTGCTCTTCCCAGAAATTCCTCTTTGGTTTGATTTGCACACAAGGAAAAAAATCTCTGTCTTATTTTTGAAATAATTTCTTAGTGTGCAGAACAATTTACATTACAAAATTGCCTAAGAAAGCAATTTCAGCAATGTCTGGAGGGGATTTTAATTTGTAGGTGGGTGATTTTGTTGAGAACAGGCAAAGGTTAAAGACGGTTTTTGTGGTTTTGTGTTTTTGTGACTTGTCAATATGAAGTATTAATAAATGAAACAGAGGGTCTTCCTCCCCTCCTTTCTTCCTTCCTCCCTTCTTGTCTGCCTTCCTTTTTGCTTTCCTCTTCCCTTCTTTCTTTCTTCTGTACATAAAAGCTGTTGATCCCTTACCTAGCCAGATTTTGTTGAATTATTGTAAAAGAAGCCTAAGTACCTCATTAAAAAAACATTGTAAGGCCTTCATTCACTTTTTCTGTATGTCTTTATCCAGCCCTAGTTCACAGCTGGTGCAAGAGGGCACCGGACTGATTGATAGAATAGGGATTTTGACACTTGGTTTTGACTTAAGAAGACAAATTGTCCTAATAAAAGATGTGTATTAGTTGGCCTAATTTATTGAAGAGAAGCAGTATTGCTGATTTTGATAAAACAGTATTTATTTAGCCTTGCACCAAGTAAATGCTGGAATAACTTAGGTTGTACCTGCAATGGATTGGAAGGTCCAGAGCTGAGACTTTGGAGAGCAGGTGGGTACACTGCAACACGGCTGGGTTTTGCTGCAGTGACGATGTGATCTAGGATCTGATCCAGGCTCCTCAGAAATCAATGGAAATTCTACCCTTGACTTTACTGGGCTTTGGATCCTGCTCCAATTGTACCAGGATGAAAATGAAATTGCTCCAGCTTGGGGGATGAATTTTCTTGCTTGATAGATTCAGTGTTTGAAATTGAGGGGTGTGTTTGAGTAAGGGGTCCTGACTTGAAGTTTGAGTGTTTTTGACGCTAGCCTTGCCATGATCCTCCCTCCTAGTCACAGTTCCCTGAAACACAATAGATTTCTGTTTTGTGGCCACTCACAGACATCCCAGATGAACAGCAGCATTTCATAGGTGATTGTAATGTGAAACTCAAAATCGTTGTAAGCTTGCTCAGAATGTGACCTGCCTTCACACAAAGCTCCCCAAGCTTTCTGAACCTCACAGCAAAGCTGGATGTGTTCACAACCATAAAGAAACACAAAGCTAAGTCACTTTGGTGTGTTTTGAGGTTTCACTGCACATCCTCCTGCACCACTGTATCTCAGAGTCCTGGATACAATTCTCATTTGATCTTAAACTCTTACAAAGAGCCTAGGAATAGAAGATGTGCTGAGGTAAGGGTCAGAAAAGACTTTTTCTAACACCCACTGCAACCTGAGTTCCCCACAAACAATCAGGACTCAGCGAGAATTGTACCCAACTTTTTTTGATGGAAGTGCAGTGGTGACCTTCTAGATTGATTAAAGATGTGACATTGATTGACTTTGAAGGGAGCCACATCCACCCTTCTTCTGCCAAAAAGGCAGTGGCTGCAATGTGAAGCCTCAAGAATGGGGCATTGCTTTTCCAAGTACATGGAAGACATCCAAGGGTAACAGGATAATGCAGATAATGGGATAGGGTTTCTCCCCTCCTCTCCCTCAAATACCATATAGCTAGATTTTGGCTATCCAGCCTCATGCCTTAGAAGACTTTTCTCTTATAGCTACTTAAAAGATGAAATAGCTGAGGAAATGAGCTCTTTTTGCAGGTTATTTAGGATGTTTGGTGGCTGGGAATGTCAAAAAGGACTGGTGATGTTGACTCTGCAGGAATCTTTAATGGTGGTGGGGGTATGATGCTGTGAGGACCAGTGTCAGTGGAAGGGATGGTGTGGTGGGAGAAAGCTTTATTCCTCAGGCCAACCCACCCGTGAGGATTGTTCACACTGTCACTCTGGGGTGTCAAGTTTGAGAGGTGCTAAAATCGCCCTATTTGCCAAAGATATAAAGTATCTTAACAATATCTGGTCTCTTTAAGGCACCTTGAGTTGGCACAGAGGAATATTGGCCTCCAAAATTACCACTTTTGAAAATCTAGGCCACTGAACCTGATATGAACTATCAGAAAGCAGAGACAAGGGAGCACTTTTGTTGGAGAATGTACAGTGGCTTGAAAACTACAAATCAAAATAATTCACCCTTTTATGTGTAAATCTCCTTCTCTTTGATACATAAATTGAAAAGCTGTCTGGTTTCCTTGTAGTTTCCATAAGCAAGCAGTGTGTGTCTGCACCCTCTAGAATGCGATTTAAGTGTTATTTAAAGTGCAGACCTGTTAAAGTCAAGCAAGCTGATCTGTATGCTAGAACTGAGCCCACCAAACCTTACACCTAAAACTAGCAGGGAAGGGGGTCTCAAGTGCCACGGCTCCTTCGTGACAAGAGCATGGAGTGACAAACAGTGAAGCACCAAAAGATCAAAACACTTTTTCAGGCACAGCAATAAAATCAGAGACAGAAAAACACCAGGTCCTGGTGCCGGTGTCTGCTCTTCCAAAGCAGTCTCTGTCAGGTTTGACACAGCCAGACCATGTCAAGGGGATGCAGGCAGGAGCTGCACACTGGCAGTAAATAAACATCAGCAAATGAACCTCCTGTGGTGCATTTCTGAGCTGGGAGAAAGGCTGGAGAGCCACTGCATAAAGCCCATGTGGAAGGGATTACTGGGACACGCTGAATTTACCAGGAGTTTATTGGAAAATTTCAGTGGAAGCATGGAAAAGACAGCGTGCTGTGTTTTGCTCATGTTCCAGAGTTGTTTTCCCTGGTTGAGCACCTCAGTGCAGGTCCTGTGGAAGTCAATAGCTCTCTTGCCGTTCAGAAGGATTATGCCCCTAAATAGCTTCTTTAGGAAGTGTACTTTGCTTGGTGATAACACAAAGCAGAGGGTGGATGATTAACACCAATTAGGATTATTTACAAGAACCTAGAAAACAATAGGTCCATAAATCATTGTCTTATCAATTGTAGTTCCTCCTGAGTAATTCAGTCATCATTGGGCACACTGTGTTTGTTAAGTACAGATCACACTGATGTTAGTTAAAGTGTGTGCAAATGTTGAAGGCACAATATGACCTAAAATAGCAGCATGCTACAAAAAAAAAAAAACCAACAAAACTGTTTTCAATGATTTTATGTTCTAAATCCCCAACAGTTTACCTCCAGGTATATTGAGTGAATTTAAAGGAACTGACGGTAGGCTTGTTTCTCTTGGGTTATGCTTCAGCTCTGTCTACACTTGTGTCTCCCTTTGGGGTGGTTTTGCAGTAATCTCCTGGCTCTCTCCATTTGTTGGGCACTGGTCCAGCTGCAGAACAGCACACATATTCCTTCCAGAGGAGAGCCAGTGGGGAGTTCTCTCCAAAAGCATGGCAGGGCTTGGTGGGACACACTGCTCTGATCCAAGGGGCAGCCACACCACCACAAAGTCCTTCAGGGTGTCTGTCACCCTGCTTTGCAAGAGGAAGGAAGTCAAACTTCCCAGAGCTCCAATACCAGCCTGGTATTGGAGTGGGGCTTGTGCTTTAGGGAGGGTCATCTGCTTTGTGTGGCACCCTTTTTGTGGTGACTGGCAACTCTTGAACCACTACTTCTCTTTCTTCCATCAAGGCTTCTCCTGGCTCATTTTCCTTTTTGTTTAGTAACTGCCCGGTCTTCTGTAGCTGTTCCTCCTTGCTGCTGATTTTTTTTACTTCTACTTTTATCACTTTTTGTGATCCCTTTTCCAATTTCCAACCTTAGTCTCCCAAGAAGACCCGGAGTGGTGATGCCTGGATGCAGAGGAGATCACACTGCTTATAGATCTGCACCATGAGGAGGCCAAAAGTTTCTGCAGCAGCAGGAGGTAAGACAGGACTGCTGGTGGGTGTAAGGAGCAGAAAGCAAAGCCACATGAGTTTGAGAAGAAGGCAGCGGCACCCCTGAGGATGGAGACTTTGGGGCAGTGTCACAGTCCTGTACAGAAACCTTGAAGAGACACTGAAAAATTCAGGTGGGAGCACATCACCCAACCAGCTGCTTGTGTGGTTTGGTCCATGGACCTTTGGGGTTTGCACACCAGAGACTGAAAACTCTTGACTTACCCTAAATTTCCTCTTTATGGACTTCTGATGTCAGAGGAATGGCACAACAAAATCCAATATATTTTCTTCACCATAGTGTTTCCAGCCTGCTAACTTTCCCAGGACTACTTTCTGCTCAAATTACTGGAACTTAATTACATGAGGTTTAATTTCAGTTGCTTGGCCAGCTTTAAAAATATGTATTCAAATTTTAACCACAAGGACAGAATTTTGGGAGCCTCTTTGTCCTCTCACTTTGTGTTAATTTAAATGAGGAGACTGTGCCTGTGAATCTCTGCTTTACTTCACCTATTCCAAGTCAGTCTCAGCTCTGGAGAGACATCCCTGACTCCCAGCAGTTTAAGGGAGAGCACAAACAACCCCTTATGTTATACTTTATGTTTTTGATACTGTGCAAACAGTATATGTTTGTCTCCTGCTTATGAATTTTCTTGTAAATAAAATGTATTGAGACCAGAGATGGAGTTACACTGATTTTACACCAGATAATGTATTGACATTTTACAAGAAAGTGTTGTATTATCCATCCATTTCACAAGTAGATCTTACAGTGTTTACTTATAACAAAAAAAAAAAAACCAAAAAAAAAAAAAAAACCCAAAACAAAACAAAAAAAAAAACCACACAAAAAAACAAAACTGGAAGGAGAATCAAGGAAGGGACATGGAAAGAGAATGCAAAAGGACATGGATGAGAAGTGGTAGAGTTGGAGGATAACAGCACCTATCAAGGCATTATCTGAGAATTCCTATGATTAGGACTTATCTTTCTGGCTTCACTATTTTATTATAATCTGCTGTTTACCTGATAAGTAATAAATGGCCTCCAAATTTTATTGCATTTGTTCACTTTCTTCAGATTTTGCACTAGTTTGTTCCCCTCTTAAGCTCTTATTTCTCTTAAGGAATGAAGATTTTATGGTTTTATTGGGGTTGACTTGTTCCTCTGTATTTCAGTATTGTTGTTTTGCTAACAAGGGTCCCACATCAATTCCTTGAATAACCCTTCCATCTATCACATTGGGATGATCAAGGATACATTACAGCTGATGTCCAAACACTGTTTTTACAGTGTACCTGGGGTTGGGCACCCACCTCCAACTCAGCAGATCTAAAACCCTCCAAAAAGCCAACAAAAGAAGGCTTTTTTTAAACACTCCAACCCGCTAGTGGATTATCTTTAATGGGTTGGCAGCATGCCCCTTCCTTCCTCTGCAGGAATGATGGCCTGGCTCTGCAGCCCTGGGTTTGGGTTTTTGGTGGTTTTATTTATTTTTTTTTTCTGTGTTACAGCATACAGAAGAAATAAAGTGTGTGTCTGATTTGTAATAGTTCATGATGTCTTTTTTTCCTCTGGTTTTTTCCTGGGATTAACTTATTTACCTGCCAGGAGACAAATGTAGCGACCAGCCCTCCTCTTTGGGGAGTGACCCTTGTCAGCATGGCCCTGCAGGAGAGGGCTCCTTGCATGGGCTGGCTGCTGTTTCTGGGAGCTCACAGACACCTTCAAAGGTTGAGGGTTCAGCTTCTTCTGCGTGAGAGAGGAGAGGAAATGACCTTCACCCAGCTGAGCAGGGAACAACAGGAAACCCTCACGGTCCTGCCATTTCCCACCCCCAGGATCCGGAGCTCAGGGACCTTTTTGACAAACTGTCAGTGTTTTTGTCAGGGTTTAGCTGCTGCAAATATATTACCAAAGTATGTGGATGATTCATGGGGAAGTGGTGTATGCTGATTTAAGTGATGGACTAGCCATTCTGTAATGGATTTGAGAATTCCCGATCTGATTGTACTTAGTTTTATCAAGCAGGAAGCTGGCAGGCTGTGTTTTAATCAACTGATAGCATCTCTTGGCAATTGGCATCCAGCTAGTGGACAGAGTACTTCTCAAAGACCAGCTCACTAAGTTACAAACAGTCACAGCCACTCAGATCTCTCAGCTTTATCTCCTATTTTTTCTGTTCAGCCTGTTTCTTTTCCAAATGAAACTTTCAGATGGAAGTGCAGGAAGATGAAACATATCTGCTTCTCTTTCACTGATGTTTTAGGGGGAATGGATGAGGCAGAATGCATTTGCTTCATCCTCCACAAAGCTATGCTGAAACAAGCTCCTAGATGTAGCATAATATCCCAGAACCAGACAAGTTCTAGGATTTGGTTTTGACACAAGTGTTTGGAGTGCTCACATTGCATAAGTGTAGTAAATCTACAATATGAGGCAACACCAGGTAAGACATGGCCTTTTCCCCTTTGATTAGGCCATGACTCATTATTCCATGACTCATTATCTACTGTGTCGCCAAAGACATACCCAGTGTTCTGACCTGTACCAGCAGACATCAAGAATGGTTTCTCTTCCCTGATAAAACTCACCAGTCTACTCATTACTTCTGGGAGGCACCAGCTCCTGCAGAGCATCTTCACTGCACAAACCCTCAGATGCCACAGCTACCTTAAATAATTCCCGTCTCAGGATTCATGTTTTGTCACACTTATTGAGCTGTGGAGCCATCCACACTCGTGGAGCTGTGCTCAAGCACAGCATCAGACCTGAGGAGCTGGTTTGTTGTGCCTGGCTCCTGTGGAGTAGTTACTGTACTTAGCAACCCACCTCCAACATAAATATATCTGCTACTCTGAAGAGCAGGCTTTGAAAAGCACCAGAAGGGATCACTCCCCCATAAAGATTTTTTCCAACACTGCAGAGCTGTTGGGACTTTCAGAGAGAAATTCTTCTCCCAGTTAAGCATCCCAGCCAGAGGGATGAAGATTTCACCACAGGCTGACAAAGCTCTGGTGCAACCTTCTTCAATGGGCCACGAACCCCCATTTAAAGTCCTGTCTGAGTTGTTCTTGAGCCATGCAGGCATGGAGGGAGCTGAGAGCAGCCATCTATGCAGGTGGGATTTGGGAGCCATCCGTGATGTCTTTACACAGGGGTCCCACAGCACTGTATGGAAAAACAGCTCTGAAAGATGAGTGCTAAAACCACATGGGTTTGAAACTGCTTAAACATTTGGAACCCTCAGGAGAGGCTGATGATTGAAAGGCTGTAAAACAATCATGCTCCCAAAAAGTAATAAAAATAAAAGTGAGGTGTAAGGAACAGAGAGGAGTGATTCATCAGGAAATTGTGCTCTTGAAATTGTGTGACAAATCCTGGGTGAGGGAGGAGCTGTGTGGAAGCATTTAAGGGCCAGATCCTGGCTTATCCAGAGGAGTTGAAGATCCAGTGAAGATTAACAATGGACCTGTAGCTGAAAGGAAAATTTTAACTTCCATCTTAGATATTTTCCATTGACCACTACATGAAAATCAGATAAATGAGACCCCTATTTTCAGTGTCATGTCCCATGAGGGTTTCAGCAGACAATGACCCCCACTGCATGAAATGAAATTTCCAATACCAGAACCACCAAAAGCACATGTGAAAACAAAGCTGAAAAAAGTTTTCTCTCTTTAGGGTGGAAGTATACAAATTCCACAGGGTCATTTTCTGTGTAAACGTTCCTATTTGTATGTTTTGCAGATTAAAACAAAAAAGTATCTTCCAAACATATTCAATAAGTCAATTTTAAAGCAAGTTAATTAATGTATCTAAGCTTTATCACAGAGCATAAGTGGAAAAAATCCCCCAGCCAAATGTGAAGAGTCTAATCTTGATTTTCTCACTCTTTGAGTTCATTTATTACAATGTTTGCTCACTTTTATAAAAGCCATGCTCATGTAATAATCTAATTTCTGAGAGCATCTCCAGGGACAGGAGATCACATTACAATATCTCACAGTATGTGTCATTCAGGCAGTATCTTCCAAATCATAAAACCTAAGGAAAGGGAATGGCACTTGAATAGCAGATTCCTCCTCCTCTTTTCTTTTTCCTTTTCTGCGCATTTTTTTTTTTCCATCCCAATGCTCTCTTCCTTGTATTGTCTAACCTCATGCACCCAGGCAGCTCATCTCCATTCTGCAGAGAAACAGGCTGCGGTGCACATCTCTCCTTGCTCTACCTGACCACCTCATCCTGTCTCATACTGTCTTTCCTATAGTTTGGAATTTTTCCTTCTGTTCTGGGCTTTCATTTGTGTCACCTTACTGCCTGTGTTTTGTGCCTATGGGTTCTGCTTTTTTGAACTGGTGAACTGGAGCAGAGAACTGGCCCTGCAGATAAAAATCTGAAAGAAACCCAAGTTTCAGATCAATAATTCCCCTGGTCTGAATAATTTCATTTCTAGCCAAAACTGTCCTAACAGTGAGACAGGACCTGTGCAGCTGCCCCTAGTTCCACCTCACAGACCCATTGTTCTTCCATCTTCATTTCTTTCAGCACCTTCAGGGATCTTGATAAAGACCTCAAGGGAGGCTTATATGGTCTTAAAACATTTCATTGATCCATTCATGTGTACGCAGTCCAGGGCTTCCATTTTTAAGATTCTTTCCTATTATGGAAACTGGCTAATTGCAATTGAAACCTGTTAGGAACCTGCTTAAGACACCAGTGTTGTGTAGCAAAGCACTTGCAGCTTGCCCATATCTCAGTGTATAAAGCTATGGATTCCTTGGGATGAAAATACGTTTTCCAGGAGGTGATTCTGCTGTTCTAGATATTATTTTATCATTCAAATCTAAGGCCACAACCTCAATCCTAGCTCATCTTGTTGACCACACAGACCATAATCAATTTTATTTCTTATGATACATCCATTCCAAACTACCATTGCCCATTTCTTCATGTAGAAGTTGTGTACCAAATTATCTGGTCTGATAAACACCGGGTTACTGTGCCTGCTAGTGCACTTACAACACAACTTTGCAGTGGGAGAATAATCCTGGCCTTTTTAAACAAAGAGGCAAGCAGAAAAAATGCACAACATCAGAATTAAACCAGTTCTGACAATTTCTCATTTCCATTTATTCAGAAAAAAGTCATAATTGAGACTTAAGGAAAAAAAGAAAAGCCCTCCATGCCTTTAAGTGTAAAATCCATTTTAGTAGCAGGAAGCTGTTATATGGTTAGAGCAGTTATTTTTATTGTCTGTCTGGGTATAGTTTTTAACTGCAGGCACAGAATAAATCAATAGTGTCATAAAGCTACTCTCACCCTCTGCCCTTTCTAAAGGGACATTGTTCAGTGTCTGTGCTGGATGTGACACAGACTGTGCTTTGATGCACAGAATTATGCCTCCACTAATGTTCTGGGGGAGAGATCTCTGTGACACATATTTACCTGTATCTCTTTATCCATATCATCTCAGAGTCATCAGATTAAAAGCAAAATGAAACACAGACATGCACGCAAAAATGCGCAGAAGTTTTTCAACAGAAGAAAGGGGATTTTTCTGGTTATTCTCTTGCAAATGATAGTGTCAATTAATTTGTGCATTCATAAATCCTCTCAGGTAGTGTATTTGTTAGACTGCCTGAGAAAACATGCAGTGATTCATAGGACAATCCACA